CGTGCCACACCACGGATCCATGCTAAGAGATAAGCCCATGCTGTCTGGCTAGATCGGGAAATAATCTCAATCGACAGTCGATCAAGACACGAGGAGCTTATTTGGCCAGTGTGCACATCCAGAAAAAGAAAGGTATTATGGCACAGAGAGACTTACTTGAGCTGGAGAGACTGCAAAGCATAGAGATCGGAGCATGCCGGGCGGGGGGAATGGGCCAGGAAGTCAGCACAGTGGTGTCTCGGAAACTACGCTGACGCAGATGTTCTGTGAGCCACTTACCTCAGATGCTTTGGTTTAAGAGCCTCTGTTTCGCGTATTGTTTTAAGCAAGCCCCTGCCGGATATTTTAAAGAGTGCCAAGACTGCCTGAAAAGACTTAAGCTAGAGTCCGCGCGACTGCGCCATGAAACGTATCGGTGGCAGCAAGCCTGGCAGAGATCCTGCTGGAAAGATCACTTGGGACTTCAGCAGGTAGCTGGTCTGTCAAAGAGCTGTAGGAGGGCAGCAGCTGCCTTGACACACATGACAGAACTGCCTCCCCTGAGCGAGGCACCGTCGCTCTGAAGCGTTTGTTACTAACTGTGCTTTTCCGCAGGCTGTGGAACCAGAAAGTCCCACCTCTAAATTAGGAAGTGGTTCGCTTCCATCCTCGTTGGGAAAAGCAGATGCTGACTGACAGAGCGCTACCTGGTTACAGTGGCTGGTTAGTACACATCGCAGACACACTGTAAGGACATTCTGTGCAGAAGTCCTCTCGGGAGCGCAGCATCTCCGCACCGATGGCAGAGGAATACTCATACATGTTTGCCACATGCTATGACTGAGCCCCACTGCGGACAGAGCCTCTTCCTAGATCACTGCACTAGGCTAGAGACCGGCTACACCTGGGTACTACCTTTCACAGATTTGTTTTTTTGTAGGCATTAACTCCCATGCTGGCTTTATGCTAACTGTGCTCATATAAATAAACCCAAGAGGAAAGAGGAGTCCTAAATGTCTTCCTACTCCTAGTAGCACAAAAGACCCATCTAACTAGCCAGGAGCCATTCACTCCCCCAAAACGTCTGCCACTAACCTCTGTTTTGCAGCTCATTCTGCGCAAGCAGTGCTGGTCATCTTAGGGTTGGAGACTACCTCCACCACTCTGTCCTAGTGCTGGATGGTGTGAAAGCTGCAGGCTGCCCTCTGTCCCCTCTATTTAGGTGCCCTGGGATTGCTCAAAGATGATGAAAGGCAAAGCTGCCAGGAAAGGGAGAGGTATTAAGGCCGCATGACCATACAAGCACTGTATTCACCAAAACCTGCGTGTATGCACATTCTGCTGGTTAGCACTTCTGACATGTGGAAAGCCAAAGCGTGAGGTTTGCAAGTGTGTCTTTTACTCAGCCTTGGTGTATCGCAGGCGCCTTCCCATCGCCTTTGTATCTGCACAGAAACGACTGTAGCACATATTCAAAAGGTCTCGTTTCAAGTACCCAGACTAAAAGTGTCTTCAGCTACTATTTGGAAAACAAATTTCTACCTTCTTGTATAAAGGCAGGAGAAAGCGTCTACGTAGGCTACATGGTTTAGTGCTGAGGAGACAAGCAGGCTAAAACGTCTGTCCCCATCTACATCCAGGTGAGCTTCTGAAACTAACGGGGTCTGTCTGATATGAACACAGATTAAACATGCTAGGCTTTCTGAGAGGGGGATATGGCGTCATCGTTTCACAGGTGGTTTTGCGCCAGGGCTTTAAATCCAGCAAAGCATTGTGCTTTGAAACCTTGCCTCTTTCAGTACAGGGTTATATTTATAATAAAGGCATGGTGCATATCTCTTAGGTTTCCCTTTATTAGATCTAAAGCAGACAAGTGGGATCAGGTGGTCAAATGGCAGACTGCTGCCCCGGACTGGTACAGCACTCTATAAGCTGTGTGTAAGTGCATACTCTATGTCAGCAGCATAACTGAGCTATGGTAGGGGAGATCAAAGTTATGTGACCTTTTTTCTCTTTTCCCAATGGACTTAAGGGAGCCAGAAAGGATTTATGCAGAAGTTAGTTTCAGTTCATATCAATTAATATCAGTGTTTTCTAACTGAAGTGTGTTGTGGATTTTGGTTAACTGTCGAGCACCCAAAAAGCATGGTTATCCAGTTAACTCATAGCTAACTCCTATTCTTACCGTTGCAGGTACCTTTCTCTCTTTCAGGTGGAACGTGCAGACCTAGCAATGCCACTGTCTTGGGCACATGCTTCTGATCTTACCACCTGGAATAACCTGTGTCTTTTGGTCCTTTGTAGACTTTATGCAGAGGTGCTGCACTAGATACGCGTGGTATCTACTTTACAAATGCACGATTGCATAGCAATAGGATAGGATTGCATTGCATAGGATCCATGTCAAACGTGTTAAACCCGGCTTAAAGTAATGGGTGGGCAGAATGAGTATTAGTGCTTGAGATTGTTACAGCTGCCTCTGCGTGGCCTTGCGTTAATTTAACAGAGCTTGTGCAATTCTGTCTCTAGCCCGAGGAAGCCGTGTCAGCGGGAACATCCAGAACCTAACACGATGGTAGTCTGCAAGAATGCTGCAGAGGAAGAAGGATGTACGGATGAACAAATGATTTCTCGCCTCCATCACTAGCAAGAGAATGTGAAATTGGTAAGAAACTAACTTTGATCACTAGCATTTATTTCCAACCTTCTCAGACATGTGGGTTTCTCTGCCTCTCAATGGGTTACGTCCGTCTATGTACAAAAACCCTCACAGCCAGGTGGCAGAGACCCCACGTTCCACGTTTCTCAAGATGTGGCCTTTTTCTTTTCTGGCATGGGCAAGGTGGCAATCACAGGGCTTCCTCTCTGTCTTCTTTCTTGGTGCTTGGAATGAAATTCTAGAAGAGGGGAAGATGGGCAGCAGGGTATTTTTCTGTGCTTAGTAATTGTGGGAGTGACTAATGGGGAAATGGGACTCTTGGCCAGTGTGCCAAGTCATAGCAAGGAGTCGGGGCCCTCCTGTCCCAAGATGAGCCACAGAATGCCCTTCCCAGGCACTAGCACCTCAGTTTCATTGTACAGTAGCCGTTTCAGCAGCCTCCCTGGAAAAAAGTCAGGGAGCAGTACAGTAGTCAGCAGCATTAAATTAAATAAATAGTCATAAATACACATTATTCTGTAGTTGCTGAGGCATGTTTTTCCCAATTGTACCTTGCTTTCACACTCATTAAATGTCTTTTTGAAAACCCGTCTTCATCTACGCTCCTTCAAATGTGGGTCTTCTTCCTCGGGACATGTTGTGTTTAGCACTTGGTCATGAACATTGTAGGTGGGTTGGAAGATATCAGCAGGTTACTTCTACATACATTACCTTTCCCTGATTAGAATGCACGAGCGGGAGCTTGTGAGGTTTTTCCTTAGACTCCACTTTGTCACCCAGCTGCGCAGATGAACGCTTCTGGTACAGAGATACAAAGACCAGTTACTCACCCTTATGTCCCCTGCTCTTTCAGCACCCATTGGAGCCAGAGACAACGGATGAGCTAGAACTGCACCGCTTGCTTACGGGGAATATGCAGCTGACTCCCTCCTGCCATTCAGAAGGTGGAAAAATCCTCCTGTTGAACAAGGTGGAGATTGAGGGCCTCACATATCACCTAATCTACCTGGCTAGGTAAGATGAGAAAGCATTTATTAAACATTCAGACAAGCATCCTGCATCCCAACCAGTCACAGAGGCATTTGGTACACCACACAGCACAGCCTCGCTGCCCCTCTTCCTCATTTGGCTGCTAATGGGAGTCCGGAATTATCCCCCAGCACAAGCAAAAATGCATTATTGTCTTTATAATGCAGCTCTACTGCCTGACTTTCTTACAGAGCAAATGCTTCGCTATCCAGCTTATGAGAGAGACCAGTCAGATGCCTCACACCATGGATGCCTCTCCAGATCTATCCTGCCACCCACTGACAGTCCCTTTTTTATTTTCATTTCTTTCCTTTTTCAGTCTTTGTGACCCTTCCTAACTTCTCGTGGACTTTCAGAGGTCTTGTTGCTATATAGATGCAGTCATGTAAATATCCCAGTGAAGGAAAGGAAGTTGTTCTTTTTCTCCCTAATGTTTTCCTGCAGAGTTTGTAAGACAAGGTGAGGGCTAGGTGGTACGAGCAAAATGGTCCCACAGACCAGGGGCAGGAGCGAAATTTGCTGAGCAGGGTAGCGGGAGCGTTTGCAAATAAATACAATTTTGGTTTTCTTTTTAAGTTGGGGTACTCCCCCTGTTGCAGGAAGTCACATAGGTAGTCGCCCTTTCAGCACCGATGTAGCTCCTCAGCACAGGGATGGCTTAATGGCAGGGGCCCAAGCACATAGAAAGCAGAGAACTACAGAAAATGTAAAGGGGACACTGTCAAAGGGAATGAAAGTGTGCTTTCTGCAGTGTGGCTCTATCCATGTACCTTGTAGGCAGCAACTCCCCTCCCCACCATCTCCTTGGCTATTAACGCAGTATCAGTAAGAGGAGGCGGCAAACTAGTGTTTGGAGAAAGCATTTCAGCTCATCTACATTCTGTGCTTTGCTCTCTGAACCAGGCTGGCCAGCATGACAGCAAATTGTATTTCTGCTCCAAGTAGTATAGAAGGTGACTGCCAGTGAGATCTGCTCTCTACAGCCCTACAGCAATTCTTCCGGAGGCCTCCTCTCCAAAGGCAGGATAATTTTCTAAGGGATTGATGGCGATTGCCAAAACCTCTCTGCCCTGAAGCCAGCAAGGTAAGAAAAAGTTGACAGTGTCCCCTTTGTACGTATAGATAAATATAGTCAATCAGGGACCTTCATGCGCAGGGAGGGATGGGGGGGGGGGGCACTCACTCTGATGCTTCCCTTTGAAACAACAAAACCAAAACAGACAGACAAACAAACAAACAGCCAGGAATATTACAGAATAGTGGTGCACAGGCCCAGGGGAGCATGCTTAGGCATGCCCCTAAGCGCACCTCAGTGCTGGGAGAGCACAGCCCTCCCACACACGCACACACCACGCTACCACCGAGACGCTCCATTTCAGCCAGTGTTGGAGGTCAATCCTTCTCTCAATACATAGGCTTTTTTTTTTTCTCTTAAAATCTGTATATAATATATATATTTATATTCTGTGTATATATATATTTATATATATATATTTATATATCCTATTTACACATATTGCACACCGTCCTCTGGCCTCCTGCATTCCTGCCTGTTAGTGGAAACGTTTCCGTTTCTCCTCTGGATCTGACCCGAAGTCCCGGGACCCGATGCCATTCTGAAGATTTATTAGTGAATCCTTCATCTGCAAGACAAGAAATTTCTCCACTGTGATGCTACCCTACAGGTGAGAGCCCTTCAGGATTTCCTTCCTCATTGGTGCCTCTTCCGTCCACGTAAAGTATCAATACCAGAATCATCTGGTTTTTGGGAACGGCGCGTCAGGGCTTGGATGTACAAATGGGGACTGAGGAGACGGGAGCCCGTGGGAGACCATTCCCCAAGATAACAGAGAAGGGGCAAGCAGAATGAGGTACAGGGTGAGTGGCTCTCTCCATAGGGGAGAGCTGCTTTCATTTATGAACCCTGTTCCTAGCAGCCTGGTGTACAAGCAGCTCTTCAGGCAGCGGATACCGAAACCCCTGGCTTTGTGCTATTAAGGGCCCACGCAGAGCACGTCCCCCGCTTCATCCGTGCAAGCTACGTATGAATCCAGGGTTGAGGTAAAAAAAGTTTGGTTTTCTAAAGTGGGATCCTAGAGACTAGATATAAGATGTGCTAATATAAGGTTTTTGGCCCTGTAGAATTCTATCCTTGACATGTGTAGACCCCTGTGAGGTGACGGAGAAGCTGCGGTGTCTTGCAAATAACCCTTGAGACCTGCTGCCCACCGCTACGTCAGAAGACGGATCTAGAGGGAGGCAGTAGCGGAGGTGACGCACCTGAGGGACTACAGTGGAACCAGGTAAGGCTGATGGATTGCAAGTGGGTGAGCTGGGAGGACATGGTGACCCTCTCGTCACGGCGCTAACTGGCCGTGCAGTCTCACCTGGTCTAGAAGCATCACGGAGGATTTGATGATCTCACGCCATTTTTGTAGCTCTGAGTCGTGATACTTCTGCTGAGATTCTAGTAACTGGGCCCACTCTGTCTGAGATTGGGGTAACCTGTCAGGCAGAATATGAGCAAGAGTGAATACAGGGAAACTGAAGTCAAGGGGGGAGCAAAGTGGATGGGGGGAGGATGTAGAGTCTATCAGTTTCTGTCTAATCTTTCCACCCTAAAGGGGCAGGTTTTCTCGAGCAAAAGTGCATTTAAATGTGCTTAGTATTTTCCTAAATTCGATACCAATGTTACTCTGTCTTAACCATGGTCATTCATTAACTAACAGCAAAGGTGCACCTTTTGCAGAAGTTGTAGTGTGGGTAGAGCTGAAGGCCCATTTGCCAGGATCATTTGAGGACAGAAGCCAGCGTGCTCTCATTGCTTGGAAGACACGTATATTGTAAGATGGCACCGTGGCCGTTGATGAGGAATAACGCAATGCAACACAATGTCATGTTGCGGGACAGGTAGCCCTGTACAGTTTCTGTGGTTTGGTTTTTCTAGACATGCTGTGTCAGTCTTTATTTAATACAAGGCTTTCTCTTTATTATAATAGCAGTACTGGCTCTCTTTTTAATGCCAGGGAAGTGTAGCTATCAAGCCCCTCCCTTCAGGCCCAATTAGCCCTCCAGAACAGGCTGGAGGCTGCTGAGTGGAGCAGAACCAGGGCAGATGCAAGCACTCAAGGCCCTGATGGGAGCATCACCAGGCCTGCTATGTGATGGACCCTGAGCAGGTACCAGCCATGAGCCTGGTGAGAAGGTGGAGCTCGGCTGGGCCAAGGAGAGGATAAATCTCAGTCAAGGAGAGCAACGCAAGGAGCGTAGCGATGAGGAGCGGAGTCAAGGCAGTTAGCATTGGCAGGAAGGCACGGCAGCAGCACCCTGCTCTGCCCGTTTCTCTTGAAAGGTATGGCTCTTTACTTTTGCGTGCCCCCCATTAAGATAGCTAAGTCATGTTACCTTCTAACATAGCTTCCCACTTACTTACCTCTTTGGACGTGGTTGGTTTCTAACACAACTGAAAGTCTTTCCTACTTTGTCTTCTGCTTACGTCTTTAGGCTTTGCTACTTTCTAACATAGCTGAATCCCTCCTCTCAGGCTACAGTAGAGATTTTTCAAGCCTCCACGTTAGTGAGAGCTCCACTGCAGCCACAACTTCCTTCTTGGGGAAGTAAGTTCCTCCTTTCTCCTCCCTGTAGTCTAACTTGTTCCCCTCTTACCTTAGCAAACAGGCAGAGTAGGGTGCTGCGCCTTCCTGCTGATGCCAACTGCTGCACTAACTGCCTTGACTCTGCTCCTTGTGTCACTCTCCTTGACTGAGATTTATCCTTGCCTTGGCCCAGCCGAGCTCCACCTCCTCACCAGGCTCATGGCTGGTACCTGCCCAGAGTCCATCACCTGGCCCTGAGTGGCAGCTCTGGGCAGCCAGGCCTGGTGATCCTCCTATCATGGCCTTGAGTGCTTGCATCTGCCCTGCTCAGCTGGCGCCACACCTGGAGATAAAACAAAGAAATGGTAATTAAGCATGACAATTAAAAAAGCAACACAAGTAAAAACATGGACCCACTCCCCATGGTCAATAACCTTAGTCTCTACCAAGTAACACTCTCCTACTAATAAAGACTGCGTTCCTTGTCTGAGTGGAGAGGCTACAGCCTTGGGATTGGTACGCTTAGTTGGGGGGACTGCTGCCTGCCCCTGCCCACAGCGAACTTAAGCCCGAGTAGAACCAGATTATGGAAAAAAACTTCTTTGGAGCCTCAAACTGAATGCTTCTGAGCGCGCCTGGCCTTTGACCCAGCAGATGGGTTGTTTAATTCCACAGCAATCATGGTTTCAACACAATGAAGGTACCTGTGCAGGGGAGTGGGAAATAGAGCTACCCATGTAATTCCAGCACGTGCACATTACAAGCAGCATACTTACTTACAGGCTGTTTGTAAGTCCTATACTTAAATACTATAGTGTAGTGCTCCAAATAAATACCAAGACTGCCTGAGGAAGATAAAGCAGGCAAAAATCACTTAATGTATCAAATCCCTGGGAAAGTAGCAGGGCTATTATTACAGGGAAGATAATAATTGCCTTCCCGAATGAGGAGAAATGAGAAAGCCCATACCATGAGACAAACCATGGAAAAAAAAGTCATCACAGCAGTAGCAGATGGCTAGGCATGCTTAAAGTCAAACCCAACTTAGCAAGGGAACAACTGTGACCGCACAAAAGCACAGCCAGAAACGGGACATGAGGGGACAACACCACCTTAGCAAAGTGGACCTGGGATGTTCTCAATCTCTGAAAATGGAGAAAAGACTAATCAGGCAGAATACCTAGCACACACTTACTTGTGTACATAAAAAAAGCATTCACCTAAAAATGCCAGAAGGAGTTCAAAACACAAAATTGCTGGCTATGTGGTTATAAAGAAAGAACTTTGGTACGCTAGGTCAGCACTGTAAATGCCATCTACAAAAAGGTGATCTGAGCACATCCTGGGAAACGCAGACTGGCAGCTCTGCCTTTGACCCTAGACAAGATGGGGGAGTCCATATAAAGACTGATGCCAACAATAAATTCGGTCTGGTTGGAGGGCATCACTATGCGTTCTGCAAAAGGAAATGGGGAAATGCTGCCATAGAACCTAGAGCTCTATGCATCTCAGCACACGCCAAGTGGACACCATACAGAAATAGGATGTCCACAAAGCCTTGGACAAGGTTCCACACTACCTATTAAAGAAACTAAAACTCAATCTGCAATTACTCTTCACTGCTTAACATCTAGTACTGCCAGGGAACGCTTAGGTCATTAAGAAGCATCCTGCGTCCTCCTCGTGATATCTCTCTTCCTGCCATGGTCTAACAACTTGCTGATATCTGGACCCACACCTTTCAAAACACTTACCTAACAGTTGATTGTGTGTCACAGGCCCAAATTCTCCTCTGCGTACAACGGGTTCTTTCTAAGACACTGCTTCTCATACAGAGGAAAGTTTAGCCATTAAAGGAGGGGAGGTGACAACCTTGGCCCAAGATTGCAAAACATTTATTTGTAGAGCATCCTCCGTTACATGGGATGCTGGGAAGAAGCAGTGGTTGCCTTAACTCGCTGTCTTCTGCTGCAACTGTTCAGCAGTTCCAGATCTGGAAATGCTGATGGTCCCACAGCTTCAGCTAACTACCTGCCTCATCTGGTTTACACAAAAGGGAAGCAACCTACATGAGAGCCGAGAGCTTTGGTGTTCTGGGAAAGCCTCTAACATCCACAGGAAGCATGCAAGGAGAGGCAAAGACAGCAGGTGTGACGGTACCTTTCCTGTAGCCGCAAGCCCTGCCATGCCGTGAGCGTCTGCGTAGTATATTCCAACATCCAGAGTTTGTAGAACAGCATCATATTGAGAATGACCAGCAGCACCAGACTGGAAATAAAGAAAACAGTGTTCTAGGAGCACTTCATAGCCCGCTGCTTGCCAATCACACCTGGGAAAACGCCCAAGGCTTTAAGAAGGTGTCTGGGACCCAGGTCCACGCTGCATGTGAGTGGGGAACTTACTTAACCTGAGGAAGGGCCAGGTGATCAGAACCCAAAACTTCACCTCGTGGGAGAAGTGTGTGAGCAAGGAGGACAGGCAGACAGAAAGACAGGATGACGGATCAGACAGAACAGGCTGGATGAGTGGATGGGCTGAATGCAGAGAAAGGGAGGGAAATGGGAGAGTAAAGAGGTAAAAAAAGAGAGAGACAGTACCTGAAACAGATCCTAATGGGAGCAGGGAAGAGAAAAGACGGAGCAGCTGCAGGTTAGAAACGGACTGACACAGAACAGGAGAAACTGGGCTGAGCAGAGAAGGCTCAACAGACAGTGCAGAAGATACATGGGAGGAGAGGAGGGAAGAAAGGAACAGTGGGAAGAGAGGCAAGAAGGACAGACCAATAACCATGTGCCTGCAATTAATGGCGAAATTCGCTCAGCAAAAGATGAGCTGTGTGCGGCTCCTGCGGACAAGGCCAAAGCGCGCCCATGCAGGGCACCGTCTGATGCAGAAATGCACGTTGCAGCCTGGGTGCATCCAGCCTTACCCACTCCCACCGCAGCCAGCGATGGGAACACCACTACAGGCCAGTGCTTTGAGCAGATACTGTACCACTCCTCCCGTCAGCCACGCTCAGGGAACAGATTCCAAAATAACATGCTCGTGCCTGTCTCTGAATAGTGCAGCTATTTTGCTGGAAGAATAGCCCGCTATCACCCAATTCAGTCAGGCGGATGGCAACCGGCCAGAAGAGTATTCTGAAAACATTATGGAGGGCTCTCTGACCACTCTAAGATAAGCTAGCAGCCTGTCAGGAGAGACTGTTGTAAAGCTTCTGTGCCTTCCTACCCAAAGTTTTACTTGCATCTCACCCATCTAGATGCAGAAGGTCGCACAAGACTCCCTTCTCACCATTACGTTACTTGACACTACCTTACTTATCTTTTACAGCAACTAGCTGGGTTGCTGCTGCAAACCTCTGCAGTCTTTATCCCCCCCAGGAAAAGGAAATGCAGAAAGGAGCTCAGTTTGAAAAGTAACCTCAGTCTGCAAATCTCGGCTCCTTCCCACCTGACTGAAAGGTGAGTGGAGCTTCAGAAAAGAATGAGCCCAAGTTCTGCTGTTCCTCCGGGGCTAACAGTATGCTTCCATTTCCCAAAGTAATGAAAGAATGCGCCGTATCTAGATTGCTCCTTTAGACTGTACTGCTTCACAGCACCTGCCCAGCAACCACTGCAGCACTAACTCATGAAAGCTACCGTCAGCCCAAGAGGCAGAGAAACAGTAAATACACCTGGGTTTAGGCATAAAGGCTGAGCCAGAGGGATACGAGGGGCCCATACCCAGCTCACTTTGAGCACACATCCAGCCAAGTCCAAGCAACTGTGAAAGGTGGTGGCAGAAAAGGGACCCAAACCAAACGTAATCCTTGCTGCTGAACTAGTGAAATCGTGCTAATCTCTCTCACTTTATGTGTTTCTACCCTTATTTTGCAGAAATCGTCTCTAAACGGTCCAGCTTCTTTCTGAGATGGTATCTCTCGTCAAAAATGCCACCCAGGACCAGACCTGAATAGGTTTTGCCAGACCAGAGGAAAGAAGTGACAGACTTCTCACGTACACTGAGCCCTGTTGTGATAGCACAGTAACTCCCAGAGAGCTTTGCGTGGTCATTTTTCATGATAACAGCTTGTTTGTTGGCAGATTATGTTAAATGACTTATTCTAAATTAAAAGACCCCCACAGTTCCTAGAAACCTCTAAACTGAGTCCCTGAAATAAAAAAGACTCTCTCTACTTGTTGGATTTCTTCTCTTTTAGGTATTGACTCCCTCTCCTTGCACACATGCCCCTTGCCCTACTTGCCACTATCAAGGTTGCCTGTGTCCCAGACAGCATAGCTGACCTGCATTTAGAACTCCCAGAAACACGCAGGTCTGCAAAGCCCGTGTTTGGTTAAAACAAGGTCAAAACTGAGGGGAAAGGAGAGACTTTGATAAAATAAGATCCAGAACCTACAGAGCCAGATCAGTGGGGCCAGCTAAGTACTGGCAAAAGCTGGGATCAAGCCAGACAAAACAAGCAATGGGGCATTTGGGGGAAATTTTAATTAATTCTTTTCTGCCTGTCATTGCTTTTCTCTCCTCTGTACCGCACAAAGTTTGGGACCAGAGAGGGAAAAAGGAAAAACTGGCGTAGGGGAGCACAGAACACCAGAAACACGAAAGGACCGAAGTTGTTAAAGGCCAACTGTGCAGGAAAGCAAAAAACTCACTTACACTAAACTGATGACAAGGAGCAGCTTGGAGACACTCTGCAGGTGGAAGCCACTGGGGCTGTCCTCAGGGATGTGCCGTGTCTGAGTGGAACCTGAGGAGATGGATGTGTTCAGGCTAGGAAATGCTGTCCGATGGGGAGGGCAACCCTCTTCCCTCTACCCGCCCCTCCATCTCACTCAAACAATCATAACACATCCTCCCTGCCCTGGCCCCTCTTCCCTTTAACCCTCCGCGAGCAAAGCTCCGGTTTTTCTCCGGAGGTACCCAGCAATCCATCCCCAAGCGTGAGGGGTCTGCAGTTCCTTACCTGCCACGTGCTTGATTCGATGTGCAACCTCCTCATCCGTGGGGGTGGTGACGGGACTCAGCACCTCCTCCAAGTGTGGCACCCGCAGATGGGCATGTGCCCGTTTCCTCCGGCGCACGGTCGATTGCTTGCTCACTTTCTCTTTGGGGGATTGTCTGTGGACCTCAGCCAGGTATGTGCTCTCGGTTTTGGTCAGTTCACTCTCTGCAGAGACAGCACAGGAAAGCATTTAATAGAAGCAGCACTGGCCTTGCAGAGATGCAGACTTAAGCCCTCTAACAGCACACAGCTGCTGGGCCAAAGAAGTTGGTAGAGTCTCAGAGGCCCATGCCAGAAGACACACTACACAACCCCTACGCAAACTCTGACCCCAAACTGCTTCCGCTCCTGCCAGAGAGCAGGATTTGATGACCTCATTAATTCCAGCAAGCGCCACCAACGCTGTGGCAATAACTTTGTCTGGCCCCTTTTACAAGCCACTCTGAGGTCTGATCCCCAGTATCACACTGGCATGCTGCCCGCTTGCAGGGAGGCATGCATAAACTACGGAAGGTGCCACTGGTTGTGGGTCATTACCACAGCTCCGGTCATTGCCACTCTTACCCAAATGACGGAAATAATCTTCTAGGCCGCTCCAAAAATTCTTCTCAATGAAGGATTTCACCAGCCCCCAAGGCTGTTTCCTGTAACGTAACTCTGTGGAAACCCTATGTGAAGAAAGGGAAGTCATTCTCCCCATTTTGCTTCCTGGAAGCAATATCAATTCGCAATCCTTTGTCAATGTAAATATGGGACATAATCACGCACACTGTCTCTTATTTCTGGAATGGTCTCAGCCCTTTGTGTTTCTCGAGGAGAAACACTGCATGAAATGTCCTTCCAAAGGCAGTGGCAGGAAGGCCTCAAGCGAGTCTCCCCCAGGAGGACTCCCGACACCTTCAGCCATGTGGCAGGCAGACATTCAGGTTACTTATTCAAGTCAAACACAAAAGCCTATAGCTTTCCTCTGCTTGTCCCCCAAAGTGCGTCTCAGAGGCGCAGTCCCTGGAAGCATGTCCTGTTGCTTATTGCATGTAGTTGATTGTGTGTGGCAACTGGCCCCGTTAACCACTGCTTCCAAGAAGGGGGCAAGAGAAGTCTGTAAATCCTCTCCCTGACTCAGCTGTAACCCCTCTGCATTGGGTCTATTGTCTGCTCAATGTCACCACAGTAGGCAGCTGCCCCTACGGTAACTCCTCGTGATAGGAGTGTTCCGGCAACAGGACAGAGAAATAAGGCTGAGTTCTCCCCAACCCCTTCTAACACACCAAACAGCAGAACTCCTACCCAAAGGCGACTTTTGGTCATCAGTAAAGCTCTTTATCCCACAAGAGGCGTACCTGAGTCGGCTTTTGTTTCTGGCAACACGAGTCAACGTGTAGCGGTTAATGGTGTAGAAATAATCATGGTAGGGGACGTCGTGAGTTAGCACCTCTGCATCTATGACATAGCACTCGCTTTCTTGGCTGGCTTTGTACATTGTCTGCATAAAAGACAGCATGCAAGGCAACTATTAGTCTGGTTAGAACACAGCTTTGATAGATTGGCACCTTCGCTAGCACTTTACAAAAACAGCTCTACCACAAATAGGAGACCACACCCATGCCCAAGCCCCATCTCCGCAGTTTTCTGTGAAGAGCTCGCCTTTAAGGGAAGGCAATACTCGAGGAAACCAAGCGTTTCACTCAGATATTTCCCAAGGGCATATTTCAAAAGGGGCGTTCAGTTCCAGCAGCTCAACCTCCAGCATTTTGTGTCAGAGATGTAATTACATATACCGCCACATGAGGACCAGTTCTTTGGGACCTTTGCAAGTGTTACCTCTTCTCATTAAAAGGATGTCTGTCTTGTCAGGGAGCAACCTGATCTAAAATCAGAGGTGGCCCTGCTTTGAGCAGAGGTTCTTCCTAGCGTAAATTATTCTGTGATTCTAAACACCATAAAACCATGTCAATTAGTACTTTTAAACACTTCTGATCTGCTTCTTTCTTTGCCCCAGAACAAACCTCACAAAGGGGACAGACACAGTTAACTGCAGATCCATACGCAGAAGTGGGGCTTTTCTTACAGACTATTTCCACTTACCTCTGCAGCAAGGACACAAAAAAGTGCGCCTCGGTGGTTGACCCCAAAATCAGAATGTAATAGGCCACGTCCTTGCTTGCCTGAAAGCATACTGTTCCCTTTCCCCATAATTTTGCTCTCCCCTTTTCTTTCTCTTATCTTCCCTGCACACAGTCTTTGCTTCTGAACACCACGCTTCATCCCATCCTTACAAGGCATGCCTTGCCACTGGGATTCTCCTCTCCCTGAAATGTCATGCTCAGGCACTCCATCTTTTCTTGGCTCCCTCTTAGTATTCCCTCAGTACTTACCTTTGGCCACTTGAACAGACATACCTCTGGACGCAAAGGAGGCTTTTCCTCCCTCCCTAGCTGCAGCCCCTACTAGGTACAGCTAGCCTGGCTCTTCCCAGTGCATTGCAGATGCTCCCTTTTTTTACCTTTTTGAACAGGTGATCTAATTGTCCTCACCGGTAATACAAAAGCCTGGACATCTCCATGCAGAGCTGTGAGAAGGACTGGCCAGACAGTGTATGACTTTCTTGTGCCCTGCTCATGAATAACATCTGCTGGACTGACCACAGCTCAAAAAACACCAGCACGGGTGACAAACACAGTTGTTAGAATGTGCTGGCTTGTTTACAAACGCATCTGCTTTTGCTGGAAAATTTATGGTCCTTTCCTTGCAATGCAATCCAGTGCGAGTGTCAGATTAGCTATTCACATTCGCAGTGATACTGGGTAGCAAGTTAATACAAGAAAAACGTGTAAAGGAAAATGGATAGGGAGAATGAAAACATGCAAAGCAGCATGCCCAAGACAAGCAAATAAATCACAGATCTGTTTCCACAAAGCGTAACACCCCTGCTCCCCTTTCACATACCTGCGTCTCAGTGACAGTGGCAGTTTTGGGGGCCAGAGGGTTGGTGAGGGTAATGGTATACAAGATCACTCTGGTCTGATTGCCATTTTCTTCCTTCTTCCAGGGATGAAAGATAATATCTGAGAGGACAAAACAATATTCCATTCAAGTAGCTGGAGAGGGATTGTGGGTCAGTTCCCTAGGGAAAGGCATAACCATATAACCAAGCTCAGGACGGTATTTCCTTCCTCTTGGAGAGCTTGGCTGCAGAAGCACTACAGCTCAACTGAGTGTGAAAGAAAGGCCTCCTGTACTAAGTGCGAATATTTTCCCCTCTTTCAAGTGCAGGGAAAGGGGAGAGGCTGGAGACATACCTCCTTCAGCAAAACTACAGTTACAGGGAAAGGAGGACTACAGCATGCCACGGGACACTCTCTTTGCACTGTCAACTGCACAGTCTGTCCCAATGTCTGGTGTGGAAGTAGAAGAGCTTTTTCCCCACACTGTTAAGCCCTGACCACAGGATCAGGCCTTAGCCGACGTTAAAAAATGAAAGAGCCTGCTTCTCCCATAAACTGAGACGTGGCTCTTAGAAAATAAAACTAGATAGCCAAACAAGGCTGATTCTACCTGCTTTTGATTACTGTCAGTACAGACTACAGCTATCCCAAGGTCTGCTCAGAACTTTACCCAATCCTTCTATCATCAGGCAAAGTTACACCTCCAAAGCATGTGCCGAGACCTTCCTTCTGTACAGGCTTCTGCACCTCGCGGTGTCCATCAGTGACCGGGCTTTGCTACCAGCAGCTTACCAGAGAACCGGCGCTGTTCCATGAAGTCCCTCTGGAACTGGGAGTCCGTGAAAAGCAAGTCGTACAGTTTGTCCACGCTGAAGTTGAACACTTCATTGACATACTGACGGCCGTTCAGATCCTCGTAAAAGGCTTGGACTTCCCCTGTGGGGAAACAGGCCCGCAAGCCCCAGCCATGATCTTTCGTGCCAATATCAGAGGCTGTGCTTTCACAGTACCAAGACCTTAATATTTTACTTTGCAAAGAAGGAACCCAAAGGAGGTACTTCTAACCCGTTTCCTCAACTGATCCCAGGACAATAGTTGGAACATTGGAAGGGATAATTTACTACATAGGTAATTTTAGGGACAGACTTCCAAACACCCCAACACATTTGCCTTCTGTGGCCAGGATGGGAATTCTTTCCATCTTCTGAAGGCTTAGGGTCCAGAAAAGGAATTCAGTATTTGCCGCTCCAGTCCCTCACTGGAAAGGACAGGAGAAAGCTGAAAACATCACCGATGGAATGGCCCTTCCCAGCATACCTTCATCATGGGTCTCTGACGAGTCACTGAGCTCAGTGGGAATGTCTTCGTTGTCGTTGAAGTCTAGGGAAGGGGAGTTCACAGGGCCGATGATCTCTATCTTCTCTCCCATGATATTTGCAATGCCAAGGTCTTTTTCCACAGGACTCTCCGCCACTGCCTCCTCCTCTTCTGGTAGCACTCCATCAAACTGCAGCAAGGAGAGAGCATAATGAGGGCAAGATTAGCACCTGGAAATTGGGGGTTATTTCTGAAAACTTTACATCTGTGGGCCAATATTCATACCTTTGAACATTTGGCCTCGACACGTCTGGAAATTAAATAATAGAGAGAGGAGGAAGGTTACCATACGGTGTTCGTAAAACACATGGACATATTAGACCACCTCCTCTCAAAGAACCACATACAGTTCAAGCTTGGGACGTACACAAGGCTTTCTGTTTGTTCAGACAAGCACACAAACAATACCAGTTTTGCTCCCGAACAAGCCCTGTACAGCTAGGAAAGTCTGAGGTTATATCTAAACAAGGTCTCCTCTGCCATAATGCTATGAGGGCACACACTGTTTTCTAGGGAACAACCCAAGGCAGAGAAGAAATCATAACCCTTTTATCTCTAACACTCCACTTCTTTTCATCTAAAAGCATAGAAAGGAAAATGCACTTGCTGCCGAGAGTCCCCGTCGACTGGCTTTTAGGACAGGCACGCTTTGCTCCCTTTTTCTTGGCCAAATGCCATGCTCACAGATATCACCGACTCGAGGACTGAGGTCAGCTGCAGTGGAAGAGGAGCTGCAGGGTTAACAGTTACCTCGTACATTCAAGGACTACCAGCTGGATCCCAGAGAAAAGGATTACTGCTCCCACTGCAACAGAGGAAGAAGAACACTTACCGAGGCTGGCGCTTCACTGCTTCCCGTAGATGTCAATGTGCTGGCAGTGACAGATTTCTTTGGCAGCTGAGGGCTAGCTTCTGGCTTGGCCTCCATGCTGCTTTTTGAGGAGCTGTCGTTGACTTCATTCTCTTCCACGGGGATTTCTTCACAGTAGCTGAGACGCCACAGAGAACACAGGTTTTTATGTTTACCCCTCTCAGTACAGCTACATCTGGACACACAGAGCAAGTAAGAATACTTCATAGAAGTTTCCAGTCTGACCGGAAGCAGAAACGGCTCAGCGCAGGGAACCCAAACTTTTCCAGTGTTTATAACAGACTGACAAGCATCAGCACTTTCTGGCCATGTAACACGCTGACTGGCCTTGTGACTGGGATGCTTTGGCATCTACAAAATTGCTCATCTAGCTCAGCAAGCAGAGAGGCAGGCATTTCAGTCCCTACCGACTTCCCTGAGGAAATGGTACGCTTTCAGGTTTTTAGACATTGCACGTTTAAGGGCAAACGTTTGGCCAGAACCCAGAATCTCTCACCAGGGACAATCAGCAGTTTGAGGCATGCAACATATCAGGACTCCTGCTCTCCTAAGCCCATCTTTTCTTCATCACAGGCAGATTTTACTCCTCCTCACTCACCCCATTGTGTTGAAGTCATCATCGGGAGGCACGTAGTCTTCATCATCACTGGTCAGACCCAGCTCATTCCCGTAACACTGGTGGACAAAGTGCCAGAGCTCCTTTGGACAGAGAGGCTAAAAGAGGGAACAGAGAACGGCATACATTTTCATCTGAGAATACTAAAATATAATGAATTTTTAGAACTACCATTGTCAGGAGTATTACATTCCTTGCCCTGAAAGAAGTGAGAGATTCTGACACAGCCCCTGGTGGGAGGCGAGAGCCTTCGGGCAGGCTTACCTCTTCTGAATTCCAGCGATGCTACAAGGTGGATTGTTTGTGTTACTAGCAGGCTGGCCCAGCTCCACACTGGCTGAGGGCTGTGGGAGTACGAATCCCTATATTGTCAGGCCAAGCTGGCTTAGAGATTGCACCCATCAAGCAATAAGAGGCCCTTTCGCCAAGTAAGCCTTCACCGTCAGCCCAGGTTCTGCCCTAAAATCTGACTTGGGTTATTTTTCCATGCCACAATCTCATGTTACTTAAGACTATCAGAAAGCCAACATGAGGCTACACCCAGAGCAGCACACAAAATGAGATTTCCCGCTACTACAATGCTATGCATGTAATAATGTAAGCACAGTAAACCTGCACTTCCCTTCACACATTTTCCCCGCCTTTTCTGCTGTGCCTCCATTTAATGTCTCCTACTACACCAAACCCCAATGCCTTATTGGTTTTTCTTTCCCCCTCCAAGTTTGTTTAAATTAAAGCTGCCTAAAGAATTACAGCTGCAGGAAAAACAATCTAAAACAGCAACTAAGAAAAACTCCTGTCGCAGTTTAAAATCAAAAAGAGTTTGTCTCACCAGATACTACTGTGAAAAGCTTGTATATGCCTCCAGTTAGAAAGAGAAAATGAATTATCAAGACCATTCACAAAAGCCCGGCTTTTTAGGGATGCAGGTCAGTTGATTACCATATGACTGCATTCTGAGATTCTTAAGAAATGGGGCAGGAGAACTTGTGATTTAAATATGTGGTACAGGGATGAAAGGGGATGGATTTTTACCCATGAGAAATTTATGACCAATGACAAAGATTTCTTGGTAATAAGGGAAAACAAATCTAGTGAACGTAGTTTCTGAGTTGCTGGCTTGAACTTTTTCCCATAGTTACTGCATAGGATAATGCAGGAAATTTTTAATCTAGCTCCCAAAAGTAGCAATCAAAAGCATGGGAAAAATACCTCTAATGAGAAACTTTTATCCAGAAAAATGTCTAACTGTTTCACCTTCTTCCCACGTGCACTCCAATTCACATGTCTTATCAAGAAAAATGGACTAGGTTCTTTCTCTCTCTCTCTTGCCAGGCATGGATCCTACCTACATTCGGAAAAAGAGCTCTGGAAGTGTTTTCTGTCTTTATCACTCCACCCCTCAGTTCCAACTTGCTTTGGCCTTGAAACCAAGGGCACTGAATTTTGTTAGGAACTTCAAAAGGCTGATCAAATTACAGCATATGGTAGCAACACAAGCTGCCCAATGCAAAGTGATCCTTTTGCATACTAAATACTACCCCGGTTTTCAGGAGAGGGTATTCTGGGTGCTTGATTACTTAAGCTTTCCAGTATGGTACAAACTCAAGCCAGAACATCTCGAAATACTGGTAGCACTGTAACATCAGTTCATGAGTCTTACTCCTGCAGTGAGGCCAGAAATACTCAATGGACTGTGGAACAGATCGAATATAGGATATATGGGGCCTCTGGTGTAGCAGGTGCACATCCCTGCTTTATTTTAGAATCCAACCCCACTGAGTCCTTCCCCAGCGCACCCCACACCCACCATTGTTCTTGTTTGGTTTTGGGATGCCCTAAACACATGCTCTTCTTCTGTCCTTATCTTGAACTCTACGCTTCCGAAGCACAGAGTTACTAAAAGCTTTGCCTGTGCAGTGAGCTATTTCTGTTGCATTTGGAACTGCTTTCTTCTGGGCTGTTTCACTTGAATTACAGACCTCAAAAAAACTCCTTCCCGAGACGCGTGCTTCCACACCTCAGCAGAGGCGAAGTGGCATCTACTGCGTGTGCAAGACATGTCTGTACGTAGACAGAATTCCACGCCAAAAGAGAGAACTGCACCTGCAGTTACATACCTGCTCTGACTAAACACGTGTGCTTACTGTCCCTATGTGTTTTTATGCATATACATTAGTCACAGGTATTATGCTTCTGCATATATGCATCACCTCCCTTTCATCCCACCCCAACACTGAGGAGCTGGTCTCTGTACCTTGTCAAGGAGAGCATTCTGCCAGAGTCTGAACATCATCATGTACGTCCTGTCTCGAGCCCCAAAGGAAGTAAAAAAGTGCTGAATGGGAAGAGATGGAGACAAAAATCAGTTCAGAAAAGGCCTCCAAAAAGGGAAGAAGAAGAGACAAGGCTGTTTGGATCACTTTCTAGCTACAGTTCACAGAAGGACTGAGCAAGCCATTACAGCATAGGTGCTCAGTTCTTGGGCATGGACTGAAGCTCACAGAGAGGCCGAGTGCCTCCCACCCGGGGAACGAATCTGAGCACAGAAACAGTCCCGTTAGAGATGTGCTACTATATAAGCCGGATATTCTACCTGGCTCCACACCCCACATCCAAGCTACGCGTGTTCCAGACTTGGCCCAAGGTCTGCAGAAGCTCTGCACCCTGCCCTTTTCCCTTGGTGCTTCCTCCCAGGCCCCAGGTAGCACAAGCAGTCAGTTTGGAAAAATCCCGCAACACACATATTCCCCCTGCTCCTGCCAGCCATAAGGGGTGGCCCCAGAGGCAGAGGCTTCAAGGATGTACCTTTTCAGTGTCAGTGCAAACTTGGATGGCATTAGGAATGAGCCGTGCTGTTTTTTCCTTGGTCATCGAGCAGATATCCTTCAAGCGAACTGTCAGCTACAGTCAGAGCCATGCAGAAAGGGGAAGGCAGAAAAAGAACACAGGTAAAGAGAGACACTGATGAGAAAGACAACGGAAAGAGTGCTCTTAAAGCAGTGTCAGCAAATACGCTGACATAAAACACATGCTCAATGCAGCAGTCTGACAGCCTTACCAGTGTCTCCCAACGGAAGATGTTGCTGTAAAAGCAGATCCAGTTTTCAGAGAGGTAGAGGCGGCCCTGCAGGAGAATGTCTCTTTGTAGCGCACATGAGTAATCTGTGGGTGGACAACAGATGATAATTTAGGAGCACCAAAACCAGAAGACAGGACAGCCTAAAGGTGAGGATAAGCAGCAGCATCAAGAGAAGAAGCTACCCGACACAATCCTGCAGAAAGTCAAAGGCAGAGCCAGAAGGAACTGAGCCACAGCTGCTGCTCTGTCCACTAGGTTATGATTCCTCCCAAGGGCACGTCACAGACAGTCTCTCTTACTGACTGACAATCTTGCCTTATTAGCCGGTCATTCTGCAGCACCCTATGTACTATTTTCCAGATTTTAATCTGCCTCTTCCTTTTCGCCTTCCAGTGCCATTGTTCATTTCTCTCCCAGTTTAAGCACCCTAAACAATTTCTATTCCTTTGCTAGGATGTGCATCTTTCAACAGGATGAGACATGGCATGAGATGACCAGTTACGTAAGATAAAAACAGATGCAGCACTAGGCAGTCGCTAATCAGCTGCAAGGCCAAAGCCTAAATGGATATGGGAAGGGCAGTCATGTGTAAATAGGGAGCATCGGGGATGTTAGAAAAAAGGGAAGCTCAGTATGCATGTTGAGACATGCAACCCTGCCCAAATGAGGAAAGAGCTCAACCACTAACACACCATCAGGTTTGGGGGAGCTCTGCGGACGAAAACATGCTCCTCAAATCACGAGCGAACAGAGCCATAGCTGATGCAAGTCAGCATTGCTCTCCCTGAAGCAAAACAAATGAAACCCATTAGAAATGGTGAGAAGGGGTTCCGTCTGTGCACAAGAAAGACACAATGGGCTTGTTCCTTGGTGGCAATCTGTTTGAAGAAGAAAAAGCTGCATGCACACATGCTGGATTTCCTCCCTAAACCATGGGCCAGCACAAGAGAGCACTGCACCAAGGGGCTGACCTTACCTACGATGAGGCGCTCCGTGTCAGGAAGCTGTTTGAAGAGTTTCCTGAAATCTTCATTCCGCTGTTTGTATGTTGGACTCAACACCTGCAAATAACAGAGTGCCTGTTAAAGAGAGGGGCGGGCATGAGTACAGAGAAATGGGAGTGCGAAAACAGGAACACCTTGGTAAGGAGAAGGGGGATCAGATGCACTTACAAAGCATGAGGCTAGGAGCTCCCATCACAGCAGACACACAGACGGGAGGATTTGGGATTTAGTGCATTAAGTGAGAAGAAGAGGAGACTTGGAAGAGCAAGTACAGAGTAGAAGGGCTACACCCATATCTGCTAGGCAGCAAAAGAGAACTGCATGGAAGCTGGGTCTGCAGGAGAAAACTCTTTTCCTGGAATCCTAGACTGTACAAGGCATGACACATGCTCTGTTTGCAATGCATCAGTTAGCCGCCAATCCCCAGCTCTCCCAGGAACAGCGCAGCAACCCCAGAAAATAGGCACTTTAGTACAGCTGCAGCCTCACCAGAGGAACTTGAATGATTGCTGTCATGAAGAGCTCAGGAGTAACGCAGTCATCCCCGTTCCTCTCCCCATCGAGTGCTCCACCTGGCAGTCAGTGAACACACAACTGCCCGCTGGTATCGTGAGAACGCTTTTGTGGGCCTCAGAGGAGGCTCTCGCAGGGACTCAGCCACGTTTTGCACTTATTCTGCAGGAGGCCTCAGAGAAAACAGTGCTGTTGCCTAGAGGGAGACCAGGAGCTGGCTTCTCTCTCGTGTTTACTAAACTATAACATGACTCTGTCAGCGTTAAGACCACCTCCTACATGCCATGCCCATGCTGACAGCTGCTTCCAACGGCCAGAACATCTTTTGAAGGCATAGTTGACCAAAATAGAGGCAGGTACAAATTCAGGAGGCCCGCATCTCCCATCAAATCTATCACGTTCTTTCTCCCACAAATGTAGGGAAGGCAAAGCAACTTGGAATACAACCTCTTCCCTATCTCCGATTCCTCTCAACAGCCCTCTCCTATCTCTTCCAGCTGCGCAATACAAATCTCCCAAAGCAGAAAGGTGGGCACACCCCAGAGCCTCCCAGCAAGGGCCCCAAAAATCAAAGCGATTACAGAAGGTAGCTCCTGTTTGAGAATGGTGTTGGTGGGGTTGCAGGGCTGGGAGGAATCTGAAGTTTATTTAGCATTAGCCTTACAAAATTGGCAAGTGCTGTCAAATCCGAGAAGGAAACACAGACAACCCCCCATCCTCCAAAAGCATTCCCTCTTCCTCACACCAATTCAATGAACTAGAAACAGTATTTTTTAACATCAACTCAGCACTTCAGATATTTGCTCCAGTCCTGTGGGCCCAGAGGAAAGTATCTTACTTCTGAATAAAATCTCCTAACCAGCAGATGACAGAAATACAAATTTTACTTACCAAACTTCTAGCCTGAACATCTGGAAAAGATCTTGGTCAGAGATGGGCTCCAGCAAGAGCCCAAGCCCAAGATATCCTGGGACAAGCAGACAGGATGGGAAAGGAGGGGGAATAGAGATTATAATCAGCTCTGAGCTTTGGGTTCAATGTATTATAGCAACCCAACTTAGCAGTAGAGTTTCCACGTGGAGGGGTGCTCCCTTCCCTTCCCCACAGTAAGGGATGTTCTGACCTGTCTAAAACTTGTACTACAACAGACACTTCTGCTTAGCACCAGAACTTCTGTTAGAGTAACACACAGTTCAGTTTAGAGACACTCACAGCTGGAATTTCATCTGATCCACAGCTGACATTTTCTTGCGATAAGTCGACAAGCCCCTCCAGGTCCCACAGCAGAAATGGCAGTTCTTGATCCAGCACAAGATCCCAGAGAGCCCCACACTCCAGCAAGGAATCCATAGCGTTCCCTCAACACTTGCACAGCTCCCCGTGTTCTCAGTCAAACTCCGCTTTTCCTGTTCCTGCTGTCACAGCTTCTTGTTTAGATTCAAAGTCGAAAGAGATACAGCAGCTTGGCAGAAGTTTACGTACCTTCCCCTACTTTCCTGCTTAGGTTCAGGTTGCCTGCCCTAGCAGTCTCTGTAGATCGGAGAGAGGATTTGCCCTCCAGAGGACTTCGAAAAAGTGGCTCATTAGGGTAAGTGTGCTGGCTGGCAACCTTTGTGCTTCTTCTGCTCTGGTCTCACCAGCTTCTTGTTGTGGACATCCCTTAAAGAAGCACTGCAGAAGTGCCGACAGCCTGAGCAGTCCCGGGCAGGTCTGTGCAAGGCATCTGCAAGTCCCGACTGAGGCCTGATGCCCAGGACTGCCAGAGACAGCAACTGAAATAGCTCCGACCGACGGGACCCCACCGGACCAGCTGTAATTCACAGATCTAGCTGCGGTTTCCAGGACTGAACAGGACGGTAAACAGCTCAGAGACTTCAGCTGCTTTTTTTTTTTTTTTTCCTCCCCTTTGAAACCAGAAAAGCAGTTGCTCTTATTCCTTCAGTGTCTGCCTCAGGCTCTCCTCTCTGGTCCCGCTCTGCTCTGAAAGGCAGCTTCAGTCTTTGCTAACGTTTCTCATGGAAGGAGCGGGTGGGGGAAGATACCAAAATGACTCGCACATGCTTTAAGTTACTGTAGCTGGGTAATTCCGCCGGCCAATGCCCTGCAGTAACCCAGGCTCAGCCCTGCCTCCCAGCAGATGTTTCCTGTAATGGAAAGTTGCTGGACAGAGCGTGCTGGGGGAGGCGCGAGGGGCGTAAGGAGAGACCAGTCTAAAGCATATAGCTATGAGAAATCAGCCATGTGAGACCCACAGAGTTAGAAATCTTAAGGGCTCCGCTACTCCTCTACATATTTCTGAGCCCTGCCAAAAAGCACGTCTTCCTAGGTTCCATTCATCAGTCAGGTCATTTTGGAAATGAAGGGCAAGGGCTTCCTTCAGGCTCCAGCAAATGAACTCCCTGCAGGTCCCAGGAAGATTGCCCGGAGCGCTGGAACTCCCTGTATTGCTCTGCCCTTAGTCCCCAGCCTCTCCATCTCTCTGCTCAAGTGTAGAAATGCACAGGTAAACGTTCACACCACGACACCAGTGCTGCTCAGCCATGATGCTGAGTCTGTGGAAACAAGTACACTGAAGTAAAATCCTCGTTCTTCCTAACAAACCGGGCACACAGATCTCAAAAAAAAACCAAAAAATCCCCAACCAAGCAACCAACAAAGCCTCTGCAAAGCCACTGTTTCATTCGAGGGCCAGTGACTGCAGCTTGCTCACTGACAAGAAGAACTGACAAGCGCTCTGTCTGCTCAGATGCACCACAAAAGCATTGCTGGTGCCAGACAGCACACAGGTCTCTCTCCGTTTAGCCCTGTCAGAAGGAAGCAGTAACATCCATCTGCCACCCCAAGATGAGGGAACAATAAACAAAACTTCTGTAGCCTGGGAAGGACAAAGAATTAGGATTACAGACAGCTGCGAGGTACCTGCATTGCTTTACTGAATGGCCCTCTTTGCTGGAAACTGCTTATGGGATTATTTCCAAAAAAACAACCAAAAACCAAATAAAACCAACCCACCAAGATGCTTCTGTCTACATACCCACCCACCTCCCTTCGCAGAGATGAATGGCACAAGTGATCAGAAGAGCTAACCTGGAGGTGGAGACAGCAAACATTAACTCTACCGCAAACAGAGAGAGACAGGACAGGATGGCACTGCGAAGGGTGGAGAGAAGAGGCTCGGTGGGGGAAAATGGGGAGGAAAAGGGTGACTCCCCATGGTTAAGATCTCCCTGTTAATACACAAACAAATCCTCCAACGGGAAATTCAAAGCAACTGTTGCTGGGGGACGGGACAGGGAAGTCTGACAACAGAACCACCAAGAAAGGTATAGTCCTGTACGGCACACGTCACAGAAAACAGGTAAGGAGGAGAGAAGGCAAGAGGCAGAGAGAAAAGGGGGAAGGAAAATCCTATCTGATTTGCATGACTGATGGAATTGCTCTTAAATCTTCAGGGAAGATTTACGTTGCTTCTGGATAGAACAGGAAAACTACTGGAAAAGAACAGAACACATTCCCTGCTTGTGTGGGAGAGTTTAGACCCCACTGACAGCCCGACTGCTCTGGTGATTTATGCCAGCAAAGAAACTGGCCACCTGTCGCGCAGCACTTCTTCCAAACCCAGTCTGGTCCTGGGAATTTTTCCTTTCTTTTTTTTTTTTTTTTCCTTTTAAAAGTGAATGAATAGCAGAGGAAGAAGCTTCACAGTAATCACTGGCCATTTGGGGTGGAAAGTGGATTTGAGTTCATCATCGCAAGAGCTTGCACCGAAAGCTCGCTTCTAATTTAGTGCCTCTGCACCACAGTAACTGTGCCAGCCCTGGCAATCCATATACCTAAAACCATGGAAAGTCTGAAGGGATGAAAAATACCTGAAAGACAATGAGTTAACGTTCCTCCAGAAATAGTTTGACAAAATGGTTACTGCAACTTAAAAGATGATTGCACTGATTTACAGAGAAAAAGGCTGTTTGTTCAACACCTTGCTAACTCATCGTCGGGCCTGGATTTTTGCAATAAAGCCCGTTTACATGATTGCTGTTGCTGAGTCAGACTCAGGCTGCCACCCATCGGAAAGCTATTTCTGATGTTTTCCCTAAAATGATGCACGATTTCGCTCTCTTTGTTTCTGTAGGGAACACTTTACGCTTTCCAACAGCTGAGTTTCCCCCTCCACTCTGGCATCTATGAGGTCTCCAAGAGAGTACTGCAAGAAAAAAAAAAAGACAGCACACCGAGACCAGCAAAAGCTGATTTCTTACGGTATTTAGTCTTGTAATCACTTGACATTGTTCTTAAGAAGCTGCAAGCGCTGCTCAAAGGTGTCTGCAAAGAAAGGCCCTTCACAGCATCACAGTCCACCACGGATTCTCAACCACCTCCTAACTCCTACTGCACAGGCTTTTGCCGCAGTTTTCCCGGAGGAAAACCTAAGGCTCTATTCCTTCACGTGGCTACCTGTTTGCATTTGACTGGATTTATTTTTGAGACTTTCACCTCTGGTAAGCCAAGCTGAAAGTTGCCCTGTGTGCACAGCACTTGTTTGCAGAACTGCAGGCGCAGGGCTCCTGTCCCACTCCGTGCAATCCTCAGTGCAGACTTTGCTCTCCAAAGACAAGTGGGTAGCACTGCGCTCCTGTTGATCTTTCCAGACTTACTACAAAAGCAAATGTTTCTAGCAGTATTTCAGAACACCTGAAAGAGACAATTAGTGTCTTTTCGCTGTAATCCCCCCCCCCCCCCAAACCCCCTGGGGCTATGCTACACATAGGTGGAGAGGGGGTGGTTCAGGTCAGTTATAGGGAGAAACTATGGGAAGAAAAAAATTCAAGCATGGTTGCAAAAGAGAAGGCAGGTGAAAGGAACGTGCATAGATAAACACAAAGGAAAGGAGTAAGAGAGTAGGGCAGACCTTGGGATCTAAATAGTAAAATGAAAACCTCGTGGACAGATATAAATCTCACCTCTTCCCTGGTGTCAACTGTGTTTGCTCTAACTTTTCAAGATCATCTTATTCTCTTTTCTGGAAGTATGCTCTGTAGGTTCTCCTAATGCCTGGTGTTTACCAGCACAGGGACTACAGGAGGCAATTTACAGAAGCAAGCCTTGCTATAGAGTAGCAGCTAGAAATGCTGCAGAAAATTGGAGACATACACACTAATTTAGGAACAGTCAGGGAAGTAGAAGGATCGACAGTCCAACTGAGAGAAAAGTAGGCAGAAAAAACCATGGCAGACTTGCTAGGCTCAGTGCTTCAGCTGTCCACTGACCTCACGACACAAAAACCGAGAGCTCCTCCATGCTCGGAAACAGGGCCCTTCACCCAAAGCCCAGAGAGAAGGAAAAGAACAACGGAGATAGCTTCTACCCTTGGCAGCAAAATATCTCCAGTTTGTCTCTAATTTTGATGACGTCTGCTGGGTGACAAATTTCTTCTACCAACTTGCGGAGTTCCTGCCACCCCCACAGCCAGTGCGACCTCCTGCTTCATGTCATCAGGGAAGCAAAACACCAAATTTCCCACCTCTGTCAGCACATCAGGTCTACAGAGTAAGTCACATCTCTGTTTCAATAAACAAAATTACGGAGACAGTTTCTTTTTGAGGTCTTTTTTTTTTTTTAATATTTTTTAAATTATTTTAAAAATAATAAATCAATTAATAATTCAACGCACAGACACATTAAGTCCAAAGCAGACACACGCAACTGCATCCTGATAGCTAAGCATAGATGGGTGGGGCCTAAACCACAGCTGACCAACAAACTGAGTTTTACCCCGTAAGAATAACGGTTCTTCTAAACCAGAGTCTCCATATCTGCAGTTCCTCAGTAAAGGCATGAGAAACATCTCGGGGACTGCTAGTGAACTCACCCAGCCCACTGATGGTCTGGTCTTCCACCACGAGGACATGAACACAAAGCAAACCCCGTAAGGTTGAATATATTTATTCTCAAACGGGTGTTCTTTTCTAAATCTCATAGTGCACCTGGACCAGTTTGCATTTGTCCTCTGGAAAGCAAAGTGGAGAAAGCACACCAAGACCAAGAAAGGGCAGGTCTGACAAAGCAATCCATGACCTTGGTTCACCCCTTTTCTCCCACTTCTCAATCTGGTAGGGATGTCAATCCCAAAAAGCACTGGTAGGATCGAAAGGAGAGCACACAAGGCAAGACAAGTTGGTAGCATCTTAAGGAAAAAGTAGAGAAAAAGGAATCCAGGAAAGGGAAGAGGAAGGGTTCCAACTGGCAAAGAGGGATACAGTGCTACAAGGACAAAAAGACCAGTTAAAAGCAGCAAAAACTGAAGCCATGTTAGAAAACTGGCATTCTGACCACCAACGCTCTGGGGATCTTTGAGGACCGTGTGCTCTTTGAGGCAAGGACTGTATTTTTGGTTTGTGTTTGTACAGTGCCTGGCACCCAGGGCTGCTGAACTGGCACAAAGAACAATGTGGAGGGTGTTTGCTCCGAGCATAGTGAAAATTTATGTTAAATGAAAGTGGGGGAAAGTGAGTAAAGGAAATTGTAAGGCTTCGTGAACGGGTAGTCCCCACAAATTCACTTCTAGAGCTGCTCTCAGGGGGGAAAGGAAAAGAATTATCAGAATGGTCCAAATGCCAGAAAAATCCTGCCTGGAAGGAGTTGGCAAAGAAGGAAAACTATATCAAGGAGATGCATTAGCAAATTTTGAATGGTAATAATACTGCCAAGCAGGATCGACTGCCTTCCTGGGGTTTGTGGCCCATCTGTATTTCCACACTGCTGCTTTTATCTGGTCAGAATGTCTCTACTAACTAGAATATGGCTTGGTTTGGTTTTGTTTTGTTTTCTAAAGGAAAATAGTTGGGGGGGGAAACCACAAAAAACGCAGCCAGTGCTTACTCTCCGGATGTACTGTCTCTCATGCTGAAAATATATGGAGGAAAAACAAGAGAACAGAAAGATAAGATAGAGAGGACATGAAAACACAGGAGACCCACAGAAGCAGACCACAGCAAAGCATCATGCAGCAGGGTATGGATCTCAGCAGCTACAATCAGAAGCAGCTCCTGCATAATAGCAAAAGTCACCTTTAGCCATGGCCACAGATCCACATTTTTACAGCAGCCTGGTTGGGCCTATACATCTGCCCAAACTGCCTCACTCCACGTTCCTTTATCTGCCAGTTCTCCACCAGTTTGGCCTGCCGTGGTTTGTACTTCATTCTTAATGTCATTGCCTCTATGCTTCTCTCTGCTTCCGAGATCACGTCTTTTCCCATCCTTGCTACTCTCCTGGTGCTGATTACATACAGCAAGTAAATAAATCTGCCTCTCATGCCTCTGTCAAATCTGACCGCACCGTATCGGCCAAAATCGCTGGTTCTAACGTCTTGGGCTGCAAGAAGGTAGGAACTGTTGCTGAACATGGAATAGCTGCTGCATTTGCCTACAAAATCATGGTACTGCTGGTATCTACTTCAGAGCGCTCAAGGGGTGGGCGTTCAACCGTGCAAAAGTGACACTGACTGCGGAAATTTGCACACCACTAGCTTTGTACCGAAAACGCTGCCACTCGTGCTTGCAGAACGAAAATAAGATCAAGGCAGAAGCAAAGGATGATTGTGTTTCTGTGAGGTCAAAAGAAAATAATTTCCTCTCTCGCCCCGCACCACCCTGAGAGATGCAAAGGGTTTGCGCAGCGGCAGCTCTGTTTGTCACCACATCGAGACCAGCTCTGCTGGGAAACCAGAAGGTTCAGGATGTGGAGATCATCAGAAGAGCGACTGAAAAGACAAAGCTTTTGCTCTCTCTCTCTGGCATCCCTTCCCTCAGGATGTCAGTCCTCCTTTGCCAGTTCTGAGCCATTTCCACCTCCTCTTTTTGGAAATGGTCAGTATGCCCCAGTGCCACTGCAAAGCCCCTTTGCACCTTCCCCCCCACCCAGGCACCCAGCCCATATTCACCCAGGGACAAGAGAAACTGGAGTACTTACATTATACCAACTCTGGCTTTTCTGTAAGGACAAAATAAAAGAGAAGCATTAGTTAGCACAGAGATCTTAGGATCAAAAAGAAAGATGGACAGAGAAACTAGGTCCAATCTGGTTTGTATAATTAGTGAAGTGAAAGGGGGATTAAACGGAAGATTTCAATGGATTTCACAGTGTGGTCTAAGACAGTTATTTCCAGTTACAGGAACAAAGAACAAATCCAGAAGCACGAGTCCATAATAGGAAACAATTCAGGCTAACGTGTGCATGTCCACATGCACGCACACACACACAAACTCGCACACGCATGCTGTAATCATTTTTGCAGAACAGCAGCGCCCACTAGCAACAGAAGGGCTAACCATAATCATTGCCAGCCATTTCTTTTAGAGGCTTCATTCTTCCACGTCTGCAGGCTAGGCTGCAAAAATCACATTGCGTTGAACGGACCCTGTGCAAATAAGCCCTCAAAGAACTACCAGGAGGGAGGGACGCAATTTAACTCACAAAAGCCATCAGGCAACACTTCCAATAGTATTTTAAATTTTAAAGGGAGACTCATACAGAGCCAGGAAAACTACTGAAGAAAATGACTAGAAAAGCTAAGCAAAAAAAAAACAAAACAAAACAAAACAAAAAAACTGGGGATTTTTTTTTCCCCCAAGAATTTCAGTGCACAGTGTTTTGCATCATCTGCACATGTGATTTTTTTTTTGTCCTTATCATGGCATTTCAGATGGTTTGAGAGGACAGGCCACATGTCACACTGGAGCGTATGAAAAAGCTAGCTCAGCTTGGAAAGTCACACTTGGCAATTTTCAGATGGAGGTGAGATTTATCTGCACAGAGGGAGGAAGAAATAAGCTTCACACTCCCACTCCAGTCAGGCTGGCTTTCCAATGTCAGGACGCTGAGCAGAACTGACAGAAAGTATAGGCATCCCCCTTTTGAGGGTGGATTTACCTCAGGGCAATGAAGCTTGGGGGCACTGTAGCCTTTCACCACCAACGGTGGTCAGCTACAGTGCATATTGCTGGCACGTTGTGTGCCAGCAGCCACACAGCTGTGCCCGTCCCCCTCTCCCAACGAGCAATGGCATGTCTACATTACACCCGGGGGAGCTGGGTCTAACAGACAAGAACAGAAGCAGTATTTCACTGCATTTCTTTCTTTGGAAGTCATCTTGCTTCTGACCTTGGACTGGGAGTATTTTTCACAGCTTTATACTCAGTCTGGAATATGAAGGAAAACATCCTGGCCTCCGACTTGTGACAGAGCCTGTGGAAGTTTCACTCAGAGAGTTAAGTTCATATTCACAGAAGCACAGAAACCACCTGCACTGGGATAGTCCACAACAGGACCGGTGACGTACAGGATGTTTACCATAGGAAAGTAAGCGCAAAGGGTTAATGAGATCAGATTGGACCAGAGATTTCTATGAAGACATGGGGTTGCTTACACTGTGCCTTCCCTGGACCTCCCTGCTTTCAGTTTCCTATGCTGCCTATATGCCACTCCAGCAAACAGCCTCGCTGGCATCTGGATCTCATTCACGGAGCCAGCATTTCCAAAGGATCCCTTGCAACCTTGGGCATTTCTGCCTGTTTCACTGCCCTGATCTCTAATGAAAAACCCCACAGTAACATAGTATATGTCACAGGCCAAAATACAAAAGTTTGACGTTAAAAAGTGAATGCCCCTAAGGCCTTTCCCCAAATCCTGGGGAAAGGATATGAACTGAAGAACTGAATACACAGTATGGCTCATCAACTAACCAGAGGAATTTCCTCTTACTTCCTACGCTTTTCCATACTTGGCCATACCCTCCATTCATAAAGGGTCTGGTTGAAGTCATCCTTTTCTGCAAATAGGACATGGAAAAAGGTCTTATGCAATTCAGCCTATACTAAAAAAAAAATCAGGGGAATTAATCTTAAACCACGTACACACCACCTCGTCCTCAGGAGCACAGGGTCTAAGATGGAGCGATTTTCCTGCAGGTTTGTTTTGCCATCTGTCTGCCTTAATGAGCAAAAGGCATAACTCAGAAATTTCTGGGGAAAAAAAATTCATAATCAAACTATAATTGGCACAGACAAAACAGAGACACTGCTGTCACTGTGTCTTCTAAATCGGGGTGCGCATGTTGTGGTGTCAGCACACTGCAACAGGATTTCATTCCCCTCTTCTACATTAACTGCAGTAACTCTTTCTTCGCCCTCACATTTGAATTTCCCCAAACTGTGGCTCCTCTATAAAGAAGCTCTCCAGCTCCTTTCTTAAGCTCTTCCGCACAATTATACTGACATCCTCATCCTCATCTTTTGCCTCCACCAAGTGTTCTAAACATGAGGAGATTCCTTCCCCCGACCACTGTTTTGCACGCAGAACAAACTACAGGAAGTCCAAAGAGAAGGGAGACTATCTGAGTCCTTAAATCCATCTTCAATTTTATTTACCTTTTTATTTTTAATTCACTGAGAGTCAGAATACAGGGGGATTTGAACCGTGAAAATCAAGAGACAGTATAATGGAGGGGAAAAAGAAAGAAAAGGAAAAACATATTCTTACTTTGAGCAGGTTAAGTCTGTCATACTGGAAAAAGAAACCATAAGCATTAGAACTGAAAAGAGAAAATAAGTAAGTAACAGAGGAATGGAGTTGCACACAGAAGTGGAAAAGATGTAACTGATTTGCAGAGAGGATGCCATAGGAGCAGCTGATACCAGAGTTCATAGTTACATGGTGCTGTAACCAGGAAGAACTTAGGAGAACTTGAGGAAGGAGAAAAACTGGGTGTTTTCTCTAAGCCTTTAATTAATATAGCGTTGCCTCTAAATCTTCATGGGTTAATGATCTCATATTTGCATACACTGCTATGGAAGATTACAGCATTACAGTGCAGATGGGAAGCAGTGGATCACACATAGGAATTTCAGGCTGCTAACTTGATGCCAACAGAAGTTTCCACCTTTCAGCACTACTGGGAGCAGGATCACAACACACTCCTACACGCCATTGCTTCCAGGGGAATGGAAACCTTTTGCCAAGTGAATGTCATGCCACATTGCTCTAGAAGTATCCTTAAGTCCATTTTACAACTGGGGAAACAGAGGCACAGAACCAGGGTGAAGGCAGAGCTCAGAACGGATTCCAGAGCCCTTTCTCCTGACCTGTGCACTTCCAAAACCTAAGCTAGTCACCTGGCTTCTAAATGCCCATGGCCAAGTAACTCAAAGAAATTGATGAAATTTATTCCCAAATCCCTCACCCCAGCCCAAAATGACCAGAATTTCATGACCTACTATCTAAAGGGGTATTATACTACCCAATGGGAGAGGTAAATGAGAAGACACAGCCAAACTCTTCTCATAATCGCACACTGAAAGGACAAGGTGCAACAGTCATAAGCTGCAGTAAAGGAAATTCTGTTCAGATGGAAGGAAAAAGCCTGTTCACAACAAGAGTGGTTAAGCACTGGAGCGGGGGCCCAACGAGGCTGTGGGATCTCCAGTCTTGGAGGTCTGCAAAAGGCGGCTGGCCAAGACTTTAGACCAACCTGATCTAAACCACATCAGCCCTGCTTTGAGCAGGGGCTTGGACTAGAGACCTTCCGAGATCCCTTCCAACCTAAACTGTTCTACAATCTCCAGGGCCTACATCAAAATTCATGTTTTCCCCTAACCTGATATTTATCCTCAGCATTCATTACTAGCTATAGACAGTGGGAAGAATCTGAAGGATTTGCAATGGAGAGGAAATCACTTTTATCCTTAGGCAAGAGCAAAAGAGTTAAAAATATGTATTTCATTGCTGGCTGCTAGCAAAAAGGCCTTTTTGCTGAGTTCAGAAAGCGGTTACAGAAGCAGCAGTGTTTGCCAGTAAAAGCCTAAGGCTGACGCAGACCTATGGGTGGTTTGGTTCATGCCACACCGGTGGACAGCATGGAAAAGCAAGCTCCAGGAAATATTTCCTACAGATGTAGTCCAGTGCTTAAAAACTCCCGGTGAAGCGCTCCCTCTGATGGCAACACTGCAGCACGACAATTAACACAACAGACAAAAGAGGGCAAGGGACTTCAAGCAGATCTGTCAGCAACTGTATAAACACAGCATCAAACTCATGGGCTCAAGCTGTTTCATTTCATTAGCGAGACAGGTTGGAAAATCAGACCATTCTTCTTGTAGAAGACGGGTGGGGAGAGGAGAAGAGGCTGAGGAAGGAGATTTTAAAATCTTTGTCCTGAAGTTCTTTGTTCCTGACCTCTTCCTATCTTGAACAGATACCACCATCATCTGTGTGGGGAGAATCAGGGGGCTTATTACGCCTGAGATTCCTCGCTTGTACCAGAGAAAGCCACCTTGTGAAGCACGGAAAAGAGATTCGGCCTTCACGGTGCTTTAGGCTCACCCTGTGCACAGACCGTGCGTGAGCAGGGCAGGAGGCTGTCATGCAGGCTGGCGGAGGTCATGCCTGGGATCCCCTTCTCTCTGTGCATCAGCTTCCTCGCACTGGAACTCATCTGAGGTCCGCCTCCCTCTTGTTTCTCTAATTGTCTTAAAGTTGTTGGGTTTTTTCTCTCAGAAAAGCAAGGGGCTGGCTGCAAGCACATCACAGTACCACTTTTTACGCGTACATCGCTCTCTACCAATGCTCTTCCCACCAGTCCCTCTCCTAACAAACCTCTCCATAGCTTAGGCAAAGTGCCTCCAGCCTACCATAGCCTAGCCATGACCTGTCCTGACCCACACACCTCTACTCACCAGCAATCCTTTCAGGACTCTCTGCTACTCCAGATCTGCTTTTTCCACAGACCTTCTTTCACACCTCACCTGAGACACTAGTCCCACAGTCCTCCTTTGTAGTTATCCAAGCTACAGTTACCAAGCACAAGACAATCTGTCTAAAAAAAGATATAAAGAAGCTTCCAGCAGACACCAGCAATCACGCAAGGTCAGGCTGGCTACGAGAGGCATTATGACCAAGGAAAAACAGTAAGCCAGCACTGTAGACTCCACTAGTCTCTAAGAACTTGCCTAGAATTAAATCCATGGCATCAGCTGGGGAAAGGCCAAGGCATTGGTTTTGTGGATTATGAAGCCATCCAAGCCATTCTGGTTTTAACTTTACTTGTATACACGTGGAAATGCCAACAGCCTGGCACTTTGTCCAATAAGCATCCCATCTGCGTTTCTGATTTTTACACTCTTCTGAGGGTAGCATAGAGATGTGAGATCAAATCTCAAACGAGCTTATCTCCAATTCAAGCACCCACAGAGGGATCTTCCACTTATTACCTTTCAGAGCAAGCCCATGAATTCTCACAATTCATTTGGGACAGGTCTGTTCTAACAGGTTTAAGCTGGATTCATTTGAAATCACTGATCTTTAATATTTACATCACACAGGAAAGCGTGCAAGGGCAGTAAGCTGAGATCACTGGCCACAAAACTACTATTCCTCATAAAAAGCAGGCAAGAAGTTACGGAGATCAACTCTTGTTTCTGAAAGGCATAAAGTAAGAAGAGAGGAAAGAGAAGGGATTATAGTACTGTTCAGCCTACCAAAGCCAGCGGATTTCTCCCCAGCAAAGACAGCAGTTCACTTCAAGGGAGAGGGAAAGCAAACCTTAAAACAAAGGCTAAAATTACTTGGAAGTAATTGAAGGAGTGTGATGAACAGGCCAGTTCTCACACCATGTGAGCAAATATTAATGAGATCCCAGTGATATAAGTGAAACCAGCTTCTCGGCTACAGGCATCAGGCTGAGCTGTTGCTGACATTCTCACAGCCGCACCAGGAGAATGCCTTACTGGGGTCACCGCTCAGTACCACGGGGAGGGTTTCTGAGTGATAAGACAATTCTACAGCGGGGGACAGGAGAGAAAAAAGAAGGCTTACTTTGGAGAGGCGCTTGTGTGACTTAATCGGAGAGAAAGCATGCAGGAATGAAAAGAGAGAAATTATGAAAAGAAGAAAAATTACCTCGCAAATCAAGAGAAGGAAAACCCACAAACCCAACAGAAAGCATTATATCCCCCCTGCTTCCTTGTGAAAGGCACCGCGAATTAAAAGTCAAGCTTTAGTAGCCACCGTGTTGGTAAAAAAATTGCACTCCCATGGCCTTAAATCACAGCACTTTACGGGCCAGGGCAATGAAACTCATCTCTGTAATTCCCCCTTACCAAGGACGCCATTTCCCTGACAAAGCATCCCCCAGTGTGGCTATAAACATAGCAAGCCCCGCATCCTGCCTGCCTCCCATCTGCATGGCTTTCTTTTGGGGACAGACTGCTGGCACCATAACGCACGAGGGTGTCATCCGGTCCTGCCGCCCTGGCATGGTGTTTGTAGGTCACTGTGTGCACAGGAAGCAAGCCTGACCTCAAGGGCAACCTCAGAACTGACAGGTCTCAAATGATTCATCTTGAAAAAACCCTTTGCCCCCTCTTCTGAATCCACATACTCCCCCCTTAGTGGAGAGCGATCAGTGCAGGCCAGTGAATCCTGTTTCCTCTGCTGACAGTGACCGCAAAGGGGAGTAGATGAAGACTTTTTGTGTGCTTGACACAATCCAGCAATAAATCGGGCAAAGATGACAACGCATTTGACACAAGCCATCAGAGTTATGCCTGTGACACCATGAAGTTATTCAGGCTGAAATACTTTACTTCAAAAATCTGGAAAAAGAAAAGACAAGTGCTCCTGACAGCTATCTATCTTATAATACGCCATTGACATTGGGGTTATAATCAAAGGTTATGTTTGGGTTCCAAGGCCCTTGTGTGTGTTTCGCCAGGTCCCACTGCTCACAGAAAAATCACGAGTCACCAGACCTGAAACCCTCTTCCTCAGTACAGCAAATACAAGGTTGTTTCTAACATGGTCAAAAGACACAATACTTTTCTAGGGAAAATATCATCTACCCCGGCCAAGACAGTCATAACACTGCACCGACGGTAGGCAATGTGCAGAGGATTGGCAAACTGATTCTGTGCAACTTGAACCTCATCTCAACACAGGGCTTAGACAGGACTGGAGAAATGCATGGGCCCTTCACAGGCTGTCTGCACAGAGGAACCTTCATTTGTTCCATGACCCTTCATGACCCAGATGATAAAAAGTAATTGCAACAACTGATTTTCAAGGTCTTTCTCAAAACCACAGAGCCGCCCAAGGAAACAGGGCCTTGACTGCAAAAACGTTAGCCTACATCAGCCGTTATGGAACCGCAGTATAAGCCATCAGCAACTCATGGACTTGGGTCGCTGAAAGGATGACAGAGTTGTGCTGAAGTCCGACCTACACAAATGGCTCCCAGTTAGGAGGATTTTCAGAAGTATGATGGGGGAAGAAGGAGGAAAGTTAGCCAGAGGAAAAAAGGCACAGGACAAAGCCAGTGTACCGCATGAGAGAGTTTAGAACTGGGGACACGTGCATATCTGGGCCAAAGTCATTTGCTCGCTTCTCACCTTGGAGTTCTTGGCCCCACTGCGGCCTGACTGAGAGGAACAGCTACGCTGTACACCCTGCTCCGGCGTGGAAGGGGATTTGTCTGACGAGTGGTCTGAGCCTTTTTCCACCATGGCGTCTCCTTGGGAGTCCTGCGGTGTCGGGGACCGGGAGCGTTTGCGCAGGATTGGGGAGCAGGCAGGTGTGCTGCGGTTTGAGTTACTGGCAGTACTGCAGAAAGAAAGAAAGAGCAGGGTTAATAATCTTCAGCTCAAACAGAAAGCAACTGCACGCATGCCTTGAGGTGAAGCATTACCCACAGATTTCTATGCTAGCACAGCGGACAAATCTGGCTTTCTGAAGCGATGCACCCAATGCCATACTTAGGACCCCAGTAAAATTAGGCTGTAGACAGTTCTCATTTACCGGTGGCAGAGGGAACTGCAACGGCCTGCCAGTGTCTTTCTCCACCCACTCTTCAATTCATCTGACCACAGGTGGATGCCTGTGAGAATGAACTCATTCTCTCCTGTCGGCTCTGAGAGTTTGAAATGATGGCCTGAGCTTAGAAAACTTAAACTTGCACTCAAGAACGAGGGAGACATCAGTGTGTTCTCGATAGTCCCACTCTGTCCCTCCTTTCTTTTATTTCAGCAGGTGTAACTATTCTCAACAGGATACACAAAAATGGATTCCTATCTTTCAGAAAACACTCCATTAAAGATCATAAAAAACAACTGGGCACTGGGAGGGGAGTCATGATGACAGACAATGCGGTCATGATTTCCTGTATCACATCATTCTTTCCCACACCAGTTAGAGTTGGGCATGAAAATGTTTTGCTACAATATAAAAGCTTTCATGACTCTTAAAAAAAAAAAAAAAAAAAAAAAAAAAAAATCCATCTCATAACAGGGAAAAGCAAGACCTTTCAGAGTAGTTTCACGGAAATTATGAAACATTTAGGGGAATAGAACTTCTCATTCGATATCTTCAGCAAATACCCTAACACGTAAATCAGAAAGCCAGTTACATATTTATACAGAACAGGAAAACTCAGATTTCCTCACTGTTCCTTCTCTTTTGATGCCTCTTCTTCCTGCCAGACTCTTCAAAATACCACAGGCTACATCCATTTTTCCCTACGTAACTTGTTTCCTTCAGCAGTCAAATCTATTTATGACCGGCCCAAACATCTCTGAGGCCTTTCCAGCTGGTACCGTTCAACTCGGCAGCCTGCAGGTTACGGTGGAACCTGGGCTGATCCAAGGATGAACTTTGTGCTAACTCTGCCATGCTGAGTGGTTATGGTACCCTGTTATCTTCTGAGCATTAGAGAGCAGGCCACGTCTGAGCGACAGAAGAGCAGGCAACAGAAAAAAGGATGGAGAATTAAAACTGTAAGGGATTGAATTAAAGAAGCTAGTGCAATCAAACTCTTAAGGGCTATAATTTAAGCCCAATCATATACAGCAAACCAAAGTTTGCTTCTCACAATGGGATGTACAGTGAGGTAATTACAATGGATCATTTCCTTTCTGAGAATCTAGAAAAGCTGAATGCATGCTGTAGGTTTCATTAATTCTCAGATAAAAATCGTATCTACCTCTTACGTCCGAAGATGCCAAAAACATTTTACAAACGTTAGTTAGCAGATACAGGTAGATAATTTAATACACTCCTCCAGTGGTTACCAGTTTTAGTTTGGTTTGGTTTAGTACTAGATGAACTGGTCTCATAAATTATCCTCTATTTGCTCACCGCTTGTGTTAACACAGGAGTGATGACACTTTCCCTAAACAATTTGCAGAAAGCATGCAACAAAGACGCTTCTGCAAACATTAACAGAATCAAATTTCACGCTCGTACACACGACGAGCTTGCAATTGGCAAGAACAGGAGCACGGCACTTCACAGAAAACCCTTAGGAGATATTTTCAATATAAAGTGTGAAAGTTCATATAGATAATGAACAGGCTAGAGAAAATGGGTTTGCAAAATGTTCTGTAAATAGGAAGAAAGATGGATTAAATTACAGACTCTGCTCTGTTACCTATTTCTACTTATTAGACTGAGCACCATATAGATATAGAATTATAAAAAGCTGCTTGTTCAAATGCCACCTGAACCCCAAGTTAGCTCCAGTGCGAAGACCGGCAGAGTAATTCCCCCCCTCGGCTTGTTTCTTCACAGTTCACACCTGACAATGGCATACCTCATCAGTGAAATACGCCAACAGCATACCATGTCCTCCCTTTTTCTGGTCAAGACACAGGAATACTGAATACTAACTACACGTACAGCACAACTGTAGCAATATTCAAGCTTTAATCCCTCCAAATCATATTTGAAACAAAACAAAAGACTGAGCAAAAGATGATCTGGACCATTCTCCCAGCAGCATTGCCTGCAACAGTTTCGGTATATCATGAAGTAAAATTATCAGGGTTTTTTCATCTTACTGAAATGTACAAAAGTATCAGGTTTCTTCACAGGCTTTCAGCTGATCCAGTTAAAATGGCCATTTCACCTTTTCTGTCTTCCTGCTAATTCTCCCGGCTAAACTCAAGATGTACACACTTTTTTAACAACCCAGCATAATCGCATCTAGTGTACCAACTGCAATCAGCAACCACGTGTACGTGCAGAAGGTGCTGTGCAAATGGTACTAAGACTTGAAGTTCATCAGCAATGCTTCCAGAGATGGAAACGGTTTTGAATTGCCATTCCTATGGTTAAGAACTCTAAATTCTAAGGCTGTATTGCTCATGCTGTGTTACTGCTTATCTGGCATTACACCAAATTTCCTAAATTTTGCCCCCAGCATGCTTGAGTTAATATAAACTGGTTTATGTGAGAGGTCCCCAGAAACACAAGGCAAGAATTTGAAGCCAATGCTCCTGAGTCACGTATCACTGCACTCCATTTGTTTGAACAGACGTGCTCCTTTTTCTTCTACAGCTCTACGAAACCTGAGTTTACCATGCACAACCTCCTTCTCATTTTCAGTTCGAGTTCATACTCACAAGTTTCACTTTGAGTTTCAGCTTCAAGCAACTCTATAAAGGCCAGGCCAAATTCAGTCAAGGTTCTGCTTGCTTCCAGGTTACAGTTATGAAGGAGCACTGCGTTTTTACTGCTTCTAAAGTAAAGCACAAAATAACCAGTTCGAAACCAGGGTACAGCTGCACCACGTGCATGTGAAACTCAGACGAAACCTGCTAAAAACTCTTTTACTCAAATTGTAGTGAAATGAGACAAATTTTGCCTTTTGTGAACTGCAATAAATACATTAATGCTAGCTCCAGTACACGCTTACTCACACGCAGGCGTGGAAGATACATTCTCAGCTTTCTCCACTCTAAGCACAGGCATGCTCCAAAACTGGCTTACACCTAGCCCAGATACAGCTAAGCGGTGTGCCGCTAGGGAGGCCAATTCAAGCTAATCACCCATGGTCTGACAAAGCTCCTCAGGTAGGTTTTTCAGTCACGGCTGAGTAACCCACGCTGCCGCAGCTACATAGGAGCAGCATCAGCACTAACTACCTTAAAGCTAGCGTATATACGTTTGTCCAGGCTAACAGTTTGCACCACCGTAGCCATATGTTTTGGTGCCAGCTCTGCCAAGCACAACCTCAGGCAGACTCTGGCCTCCATGTTCGTTTTCCAGTCACTTAGCATCGCTGGCATGCTTTAAAAAACTAAATCCACACGTACATTTTGTGTCAGGTATGTATGGATTACCACCTTTGCAGAGATAGGGGAAAAAAGACAGCTTCGAGGGCACCCCCTCAGGCTGTCCCTTAAGTCAGTGGTGGAGAGCTGATCAAACTCAGGAGGTCTGAATCCACCTCATACTATCTGATGACTGGGCAATGCAGAATATTTCTCACATGAAGGACTCCAGGGGTGTGCACACAATGAAGAGCACGAAGAGCCTGTTAATTCAGCCTCTCGTCTTTACCACAGCGAGGATGGGCACAAAACCCACAAGCCTGCAGCTCCGTCCCGCTCGCCTCCCCCTGCCCTGAGCCCCTCAACACTCTCGCTGCTCCTGCTCAGTCCCTGAAGTTTGAATCCAACCCAAGGCACAGCCATGACGAACGCTTTCTGCAGTTGCCATAGTGACCGAGGCCTGCAATTGAACCAGGAATCAACGCCTGAAATGCCAAAACGGCTTGACCCACTTTGAAAAAAAATAATAGTAATAAATAATGCTTTAGAGACCTAATTGACCAGAGCGCATTCAGGGCCTCACATACCCCTGCAGTGTAGCCTTTAGTGGATGCAACAGATTAAGTCAGGGACAGAACACAAACAAGCCCACCTAAGCAGCAGCCCCTTGCTCCTAGGTGAAACCTCTGCATGGGGTATATGAAAGCACAGAAGGCACAGTACGTCTTCTTGGTTTATGTTCATACTGTGCCTAAGAGAAACACCTCGTCTTATGGCTGCAGTAAAAACACCACGGGCAAGTACGACACGGCTAGGAAGAGGCCAAACTCTGTTCAGTCCCATGCAGGACAAGCCTCGATATCTGGAGCAGCATAGCGAAGAACTGAGCTTTTCTTTAAGCGGTGGGAAAAGAACGAACATTTGGCAATGCACGAACAAGCCACCTGGTCACGCCCTATCCTGGACGCTCCACAAAGCAAGGACACAAGGCAAGGCGCAAAAAGACCAAACTTCCTCCTCCAACAGCGTATTTCCTGTAAAGATTTGGACCAGCCAGTGAATAGAGACTTCAGCCAGGAGTAGCTTTTGGGAAAGGCTACAGTCTGTACTCCATAAGCTAAGCTTGGGATTCTTACAGCTACAAAGGAACCCTGAGGACTCTTTGCAATGTTCTAATAGAATATTCAGCAAGAAACCTGACTTTGTTCAAGTCTGTTAAATAAATTGTGCATGAATGACATTCAACCAGTCCTGAATTGATATGAAGGTCTGTCCGTCCTACCAGATCTTCTGAAATAAATCACTCTGCCTGCCACTACAACACAGCCATCCCTGGGCTTCAGACAAGCACCCTGCAATGGTTCTTTCCCAAATCACGCGTGCCCAAATAGCCAGCAGCCGCCCTCCAGGCACAACAGCTTGCAGAAGAGCACTGTCACAGCATCTGCGGCTGCACTGTACAATAAATAACG